AAGTTGAGATGGCCTGACCCTGAGGACTGTGTTTAGTTCTGTCCCTCCCAGCCTGGGACTCCTCGGGAACTTGGGGGCTGGTATAGAGAGGGAGGGCTCAAGGATTTGGTGATCTCTGAAAGCACCTCTACTATTAATGTAACATTGTTATCATTTCTTTTAATTAATATAACATCATTGCTGTTCATAATAGTAGCCCTTGCCAGTCCTGTATGTTAGGATGCCCTTGGGGGCAACGTGGCCTGGTTTGGAACTCCAGCTAGGCACAGCCTTGCTGTGTGACCTAGCCAAGTTGCTTGACCTGTCTGTGCCTCAGTTTCCTCACCTGTAAAATGAAGGTGATCCTTGTTGAGAGGACTGAACAAACAAACCTGTGTGCAGTATCTGGCTCCAGTGTCAGCCTCCTTATACAATAAGGGAATTACTCACTATGTCACTTATACCCTAGGGAGTTTTTATTCGCATTGTCCTGGAAGAGGAGATGAGACACATCAAGGCCACACAGCCAGGATTAGAACTGGGGAAGGCAGGACCCCTAAGATCTTCACACTCCTCCCTGCCCTTGGCCACAGAATCCAGATGAGAAATGCTGGCCCAGACCCCTCATTAGCTGTGAAGCTTTCACTGCCTGGGACCTCTTGGCCTGAGCATTTGGCTGTCACCCCAGCCAACTCCCTTCCCACCACGCCAGACCCAGCAATTCCGGGAGCCTGGCCAGGCTGGGGCCGAGGGGCTGGGGCCTTCGCAATGGGGCCCCTGGGGCCCCTCCTGGCAGAAGCCTGTTGGGCCAGGAGACATGTGGGCGCCCCCAGCTCACCCAGCTGCCTCCCCTGGTGAATCCAGAGGGAAAATATGTCGGGAAGGCAGCCGCCCTACCCCGGGAGTGCCAGGCCACAGGCCCAGGGTCTGGGGAATTCATCAGGGCCAAGAGGGAGGCCACAGTTTAGGAACCTGACCCAGCCTGCCTCTGATGGCCCCACTGGACGCCTCTCTCCAGAAGGACCAAGTGGAAGGGGACAGAGGGACAGGGTGCCATTTGGGCACTTTAGCCTGATAGACCCACCCTGACTTGCTCTGTGACCTTCCACAAGCCTTGCCTTCCTTTCTACCCTCCATTTGCCCTAGGTCTGTCCCCATTCATCCCAGGCTTCTGAAAGGTGATGATAAAGAAAGAAGATAACAATAAACATAGTGGCTAAGTTTTATTTAGTAATTACCAAACTCTCAAAACCTTGCCAACCACTTTTGTGAGTTTTCCCATTCTGTTCCCTGCCCCACCTCTGCAGTCCCAGGAGGTAGGAACTACTCATCATGAGAGGCAGCAGGGCACAGTGATGAAGGTCTTGGTTTCTGGCATTTGGGCCCTGAGTTTCCTTATCCCAGCTCTGCTGTGGAACCTGAGGCAAGTTGCTTAGCTTCTCTGTATCTCAGTTTCTTCTCTCTCCCTCTCTCCCACTCTCCCTCTCTCCCTCTCTTCCCCTCTCCCTCTCTCCCTCTCTCCCTCTCTCCCTCTCTCCCTTTCTCTCTGTCAGAAGGACCACCTTCAAAAGTTTATTATAATGTGAATTTTTACTCTCAAGGTTATCAAGCAAAGTTACTTCAGGAGAGAAAGAACTTCTTTAGGAATAAGAGACCCACTGGAATTTAATGATGCAGTATTCAATGGGTACTGATTTCCGAGAACAATTCTGCACAGCCATTATCTTCGTAGTTTTCCAGAGATAACTGTGGCAGGACAAAGGACCACCCTGCTCTTCCCTCCTTTCCTCTCACATTTAATGAGAGTTTTCATAAAACAACTCTGTGTCTGTGTTGTGGGGGAGAGACTGCCTGCAGGGCTAGCTGCGGAACTGTTGTTCTCCCAGTCCCTCTCTCTGTGTGATGAAGTGAAATATGGAAATGCCTAGAGATTTTCACACAGTAGTCACCAAAGCCAAGGTGAAAATGGAGACCATAAGAGTTCCTATGGTCATCATGAGAACTGAATGAATTAGTCCATCGAAAGTGATGAGCCCTCAGTTGGTAACATCCCCACTTTCCATATAGGCAAACCAAGGGTCAGGAAGGCAGGTTTGTCCCATCTCCTTAATTTGGGCACATGATGCTCAGAGAGGGAAGTCACACGCTCCCTCCCCTCCTTATGAAGGCACATAACCTGATAGCAGGAAGAGTCCCCACCCAGGTTCCTGGCGCTCTCTCTGGGGATGGTGGGCTTGTGAACACAGCCTACCTCCTCTAAGTCTCTCTCCAGCCTCCATCCCACCTCATTAACAGGAGGCCCTTGTTCAGCCCAGTGATGAATGGATGGAGGCCGAGGGTGGGGTGTGTTTACCCAGCAGGCAGAGGCCTGGCTGGGGCATGGGCCAGTGGGGGAGGGAGCTACCAGGCAGGGAGGAGCCCCAGCCCCAAAGTGAGAAGACTAGAACACGGTACGTGCCAAATAAGTTAAATAACACCATCCACTGGATAGACATTGATCACTTCCCACACAGCAAGCAAGGTGGAGGAGGTCGGCCTCTCGGCCCCGTGATAGGTAGCTTCAAAGGCTGACAAGTGCACACAAGCTGCATGGAACACTCACCACACAGAAGTAGGGCTGGCAGGGCTGGAAGAAGGAGTCCAGTGTTCAGCGAGGCCCCTCTGCAGGGGGATGTTGGTACCAGGGCCTGTACAGTTGAATGGTTCTGGCTAACTAGGAGAACCCATGTGTGGGCTCCACAGGCCTCTCCAGCCCCATCTCTTTCTGCCCTCCAGCCCCTTTACCTAGGTTGTGACTGCTCTGTGGTGCTCTATCCCCTTTAACATGGCTCATTTCTTCTCATTCGAGCACCATGCATATATGATGGAATAAATGAATGACAGATGGATGTACAGGTGGGTGAATGGATGGTTGTATGATGGATGAGTAGGATAGATGGATGGGTGGATGGATGGATCAGGGGATGAATGGATAGATGGGTGGAGTACAGGTGGGTGAAAATGGTTGGATGACAGGTGGATAGATGAGGGTGGAAGGATAAATAAGTGAGTGGATAGGTGGGTGAGCAGATGATTGGATGGGTGAGTGGATAGGTGGGTCAGTGGGTAGATTAGATGATAGATGAACTTTCCTCCGGATCCTCTCTGGCTATGTGGCAATCCCATTCAGAGGTCACTGTGGGGAGTCAATAAAAGAATAAAAGTGAAGCACATAGTAGGCACCCTCCTATTGAATCTTCCTGACTCTGTTTCCCACTGGTTTGAATAATTACTAGAGCCAAATAATTCCAAAGAATCCAAGAGCCATGAGACCACAGAACAAAGAAATGACAGAGTCATGGAACTAAGAAATGACAGTCATAACATCATGGGTTGATGGTGCCATGGGACCACAGCATGCTAAGGTGGATCCTGAGGTCACAGGACCACAGAGTGTTAAAGCCACAGAATTGTGGGATCCTAGAACCATGGGACCATGGTGTTAAGAGCACCATGGACCCAGGGTGATGTGGCCACTAGTCAGCAGAAGCACAGAACTATAGAATGGTAGCCACAGGACCCAGGAGGGCTGAGACATGGCACTGGGACCTCCCACATCTCAAGTGCCACAGGAAGGAGTCTGACCCCGGCAGAACCATTCTCTCGGCCACACCCTCACCTGTCAACTGTTCAAAGAGGCTCCCAGAGGCCACAGAAGCTATGAAGCACTTTCTCCCCCATCTCTAAGGAAGGCACAGGAGAAAAGGACCACACCGTTACCGACTCCTGCAGCCAGCCAACCACCACTCGGTGAATCCCTGTGCCAAGTGAAGCTGTCCAGGTGCCGAGAAATGGTGCCAATCTCCAGCCAGGCGTGCTGGGACAACGAGTGCTCAGCAGCAAATGGAAAATGAATCAAAAAGTTACTCCTGCATACATGTCCTTTTAAAAGCCAACAGCAACATGGCATGGAGGAGAGGCACATCCCCTCTGGGCAGTGGTAGACTGCTGAGTTCCCCCTCTTCCCCAGCTTAGCTTCCACCTCTGCTTTTGCCAGGAGTCACAGCCCAGCTCAGATTCTACCAGACACATCCATGTATTACTGAGCTCTCCTGGGACAGCAACTTCTCCCAGCAGACCCCATCCCTGATGCCCAAAACAATCAGTCTGTTTTGGAGAGGGGAAATAGGCCCAGAGAAGGAGACCACTGGCCCAGGATCATAGAGAGCCGGAGTCAGGACTCAAACCCCTGTCTTTTGGATGCTAAGCATGAGCTCATCAGAACCCAGCAAGATTGCCTGTTGGGACCTCAGCCTGCCTTCTCTTGGAGCCCTTGCCATTTGCTTCCAGATGTGGCCCAACGAGGAAGCCAGGGCATGAGACTTAGTGATGCCTTCCTTCCACTGAGCTCAGAACATCTTGCTCACAGGGCTGCTGTGGGGACAGAATGTGATCTTAGTGAGTGTACACTGGGACCTGGTATTGCTGTCATGGAAGGACCTTGCCCTTCTCCCATCTTACAAATGGGAAAGCAAAGATGCCAGGGAGTGGGGTTCTCACACTTCTGAGGCCCTGACACCTTCAGTGAGGACTGTTCTCATCTTTTGTTTTGTTTTTTATCCTCACCCGAGGACATTTTTCCATTTTTTATTCAGATAGAGCAGGAAGGAGAGAGAGGAAGAGAGAGAAACATCGATGTGAAAGGGACACATTGAGTGGCCACCACCCACACAACCCAACCAGGGCCGGGGACAAACTGCAGCCAAGGTACATGCCCTTAGTGGGAACTGAACCCGGGTCTCTCTGGACCGCAGGCTGATGCTCTAACCGCTGAGCCAAACTGGCCAGGGCCACTGTTCTCATCTTGATGGGGACATGGGAGTGAACAAATGCAGCTGATCTCTGAAACCAGATTACAGGGAGAGAAAGCCCATCTCTCATTGCCTTACCCTAGTGGCAGAGCTGCCTTTAGGTATGGCTGGATTCAGATCATGTCTTCAGGATGTCTATCAGCTGTCTTCTTCCTTTTAAAAAAGAAGTGATAGTGAAATGATAGCAATCATCTTTCGGGACTGACCTGAGAATAAAAAATAAAAGTGATAAAATACACATGACATAAAATTTATCATTTCAACAATTTTAAAGTGTATAATTCAGTGACTTTTAGTCATGCAACTATCACCTCTATTTAATTCCAGAATATTTTAATCTCCAAAAAGGAAACCCCATACCCATTAATAGTCACTCCCCATTCCTTTGCCTCCAGCCCCTGCCACTAATCTACTTTCTGTATCTATGGATTTGCCTCTTCTGGACATTTCATATAAACTGAATCGTACAACATGCATCCTTTTGTGTCTGGCTTCTCTCATTGAGTATTTCTTCAAGGTTCATCCATGTTGCAGTACTTCATTCCTATTTATGCCTGAATAGTGAGTGTTCCATTGTATGCATAGACCACACCTTGTTTATCCATTCACCAGTTGAGGATCATTTGAGTTGTTTCTACCTTTTAGCTATTATGAATAATGAATGCTATGAACGTGTGTGTGCAAGTTTTTGTTTGAGCACCTGTTTTCAGTTCTCTTGGGTATATACCTGTGAGTGACATTGCTGGATCATATGATAACTTTATGTTTAGCTTTCTGAGGAATGCCACACTTTTTTAAAAATATGTTTTTACTTATTTTTAGAGAGAGAGGAAGGGAGAGAGAGCGAGAAACATCAATGTGAGAGAGAAACATCGATTGGCTGCCTCCTGCATGCCCCCCACCAGGGATCGAGCCCACAACCTGGGCATGTGCTCTGATCAGGAATAGAACTGGACCTCTCAGTCCATGGGACAATGCTCAATCCACTGAGCCACACTGGCTGGGCAGTGCCACACTTTTCTACAGCAATTGCACCATTGGACACTCCAACTGGCAGTACACAAGGGTTCTAGTTTCTCCACATCTTTTCCAACATTAGTTTTTTGAGTTTTTTTATTATGGCCATCCTAGTGGGTGTGAAGTGGTATCTCATGGTGGTTAGGATTTGCATCTCCTGTTCAGCTCTCTTCCTGTTCCTTGGGGTGCAAAACTGGTCCAGGCTTACATTTCTTCAGCCCCATGGTCCCATGGTATCAGAGCACCTTTCCCCTGACAGGCCCAGAAGAGATCTCAGGGCTGACTCAGGGCCCAGCTCAGAGTACCATGACTCTCCCAGAACCAATCACTGTGGGGGAAGATGGAGGACTTTGATTGGTCAGGCCAGAGTCAGCTTCTCCAGATGGAGGAGGGGTCAGCCTCTTCTGAACAGCACCAGATGCTAAACATGGTGAAACTTGGATCCCCTAGCCTGGGCTTTCTAGATCACAGGCTGTTGAGTCTGACCTGCTTTAACGGAGGTGACTCTGGTAGTATGCCAAGCCTTTATCCTCTGCCTTCGTCTCCAAGCACTACAGTTGAGGCCGCTCTTGCTGTCCTCTGCCCTTGGGAAGGGTGGCAGTCCCAGCTCCAGCCCAGGCCTTCCTGGGAGACTACTGTTGAAGGCAGCTCCAGGCCAAACTGAGGCCCTTCCCTACTTTGCTGGCTTCTTTACCTCCCCTGGGTATCGGGCAACCTTGAATATCACAAGGAAACAGGTTTGGCCCAGAATGGCCAATGCTGCCAATCTGTTATTTCCAAATGTCTGGTGTGTAGCAGAGGAGGAGCCAATGGGAGGGCGCTCCTCACCCCATCACTGTCTCCAAAGCTGCTCCCAACCCTGCTTCAGGGCCCTAAGGGTTGAAATAGGGAAATGCAGAATGGCATGACTGATCAAGATCAGAGCAGTGAATGATCTTGACCCAGAGTTGGGAGGGAGGCAGGGAGCAAACAGAAGCCCAGAGAGGGCAAGACATTTGCTCAGGGCCACACAGTAAATGAGAAGCAAATCTGATTCTAATCTTCACCTTTTTCTCTTGTTTTAAAATTATGTTTTATTGTGGTAAAGACACATAACAAAATTTACCATCTTAATTTTTAAGTGTGCAGTTCATTGGCATTAAGTACATTCACATTGTGCAACCATCACCATCATTATCTCCAGAACTCTTCATCTCAAAAAATTGAAACTCTGTTCCCATTAAACAACCCCATTTCGCCTGACCCATTCTCCATCTTCTCAATCCACACTTGAACTAATTCCTCTTAGCAACTGGGATCAATAATCAGACCCAAAAGTGATTTAACCCACTTGGTTTTAAACAGCTGACTTGCCCCCCTGGCCTGGAATATTTGAGACCATCAGGGTCTTGTCCCTGGTGCTCTACTGGGGGGTGTGATTGCAGATGAATGTCACATTTTCCAGATGGGAAACTGAGTTACCCCTCATGTCCAGAGAGATGTTGAAATCCAACTTCTGACCCCTGTCCCTTTTCCTGAACAGGCCCCAGGGTGGGTCTCAGGCCTGTGGGCTGGCAGGTGACCCAGGGCCTGTTTTTCCACCCAGCGCTGGGGTTGATGCGGGGAGGGGCCATGCCTCAATGCTAGTGATTATTATTTTAACCTCTGTAGCCAGAGACTAAAGGCTGAAGCTGTCCTGCCCACCCCCCTCCCAGGTCTGGCCAGCAAGACTACCCAGAGGCCTGACCTTCTGGACACGGGGCCTCCCCAAACCACACGGTCATAGGGCTGCATCCAACTGCACATCTGGACTTTTTGACTTGGTCCTGGTTTCCAGCTAGAGCAAAAGGGCCTGGGATGGGGAAAATGTGGGCCCCACCTGCTTACACAAAGAAGGCTTGGGGTCAAGGGCTTGGCTCATGCCTCTTGCCTGCCTCTCCCAGGTGGATCCTGTCCAGCTCCAACCATCAAAGGCCACTCCTTGTCCCCAAGGCCCATGGTACCATCTGGAGCAGGGAAATTCTGACCCAGACATCTGGGTCCAACCAGACAGTGTAGCATATGGCCAAGGAAGGGCTGTTGGTCCCCGACGTCACCTCTACAAGGCTTCCTGTCTTAGGCAATCCACTCAGGGCTGGGCCTGAGACCTGGATAGCATCTGAGACTCCTACTTGCCCCCCACATCCAGTACATTAGTGGCTCTTGTCCCCACAGTCTCCAAAACATACAAGTGCAAACACCTCCTTGCCCTGATCTTAACCCTGCTAACTCCTGCCTGGAACCTGCCCCGGCCTGTTGGGATGTCTCAAAATTATAAATACAAGTATTTTACTCTCCAGCACACACACTCTCCATGGCTCCCCATTACTTTCAGAATAAAACCCATCTCCTCCCCATGACCTGTAAAGCCCCATCTGATCTCACCTTGGTCTGTTTTCCAGCCTATCTCTTCCTCCTTTGCTCACATTGCTCCAGCCACACTGGCCTCCTCGTTACTCCTCCAACAGCCAAGCCCTTTCCCTACCCCAGGGCCTTTGCATGAACCATCTCTTCTGTCTGGAATATGTATCCTTCATATTTACATATACTTTCCTGCATCTCAGCTTAAAGATCACCAACTCAGGAGGCCTCCCCCAACTCCTAAGCAAAAATATTTTCACCCAACTTTCTTCCAAACACTCTTCATGCTTTGAAATTATCTTCATTGTTTGTGTTTTCATATAAATACAAATTGTATTTTACCCCAGTGTGTATCACCATGCCCAGCACATACTAAGCAGGGTTGTATCTTCACGGGGACGAGAGGACATACCATCCCCAATGCCAAAGTTTGAGAAACATCTAATCCTCCAAGGTCCCCTGAGTGCTCCCAGCAACACTCTAGGATTTATAACCAAGAAATTTGCCCTTAATACATGCCAGGGTGGTTGGAGTTGTTATGCGAGCATCATAGGCAGCTATGAGGGCCAGAAGGAGGAACTTCTATGTTCCAACTGAAGAAGGGATAAGAATCAGCCAGGTCAGAAACCACAAAGGGGCCCGGCTGGTGTAGCTCAGTGACTGAGCATCGACCCATGCACCAAGAGGTTGCCAGTCCAATTCCCGGTCAGGGCACATGCCCAGGTTGTGGGCCAAATCCCCAGTGGGGGGCATGCAGGAGGCAGTCAATTGATGTTCTCTCTCATCAATGTTTCTATCTCTCTCTCCCTTTCCCTTCCTCTCTAAAATAAATAAAGAAAAATTATTAAAAAATAAATAAAAATAAACCACAAAGGGTACACAGGGTGAGGAGAGCAGCATGGGCAAAGGCCTGGCGGTAACAGAGAACAAGGCAGCATTCCTGGAAATGGGTGTGGTGGGAGACAGGGAGATGAAGTCTGGACTTCATCCCAGGGTGATGAAAAGCCGTGACAGGTGTATGAGCAGAAGGTACATCAGACCCATACCCCATCACCCTGTGCCAGGCATCAGGAAGCTCTCTCCCCAGACATCAGCAGCCTGTGAGTTCAACATGCTTATGCTGGCTGGGAACATCTCAAAACGGCTCTATACGAATTCTTGTATAGTAGATGGTGAGGCCATCCACCATTCCTGCCAACATAGGGCTCAGGGAGATCTGCCATCTGAATGAGCCTCCCAGACCCAGATAACGTGCTGATGGCCACCTAGCCCTACCAGGGCCTCTCAGGCTCCCCCAGAATGGCTGGGTACCCCCAAGACCCTAGGTCTGGCCACCCCCTGCTGGCCCTCAGTGTATGCCAAAGACCTCTTTCTTTATTCCTCTGGAATTTTCCTTACAGGCCCTGCCAATGTCTCCAGGAACATATAAAGGAAAAATGTTTCCAGTCTAAGCAGGGCTGTTTTATGGAGTTTGGGGCCAAGAGACTGACTGCAGAGTGGAAAGGCCTCGTCTCACAACTCTGTTCCTCCTGTAGAGCTGTGTGAATCCAGACTGCCCTCCTCCATGGCCTGGGTTCAGCGGGGGTTTTCTAGCTAAGCAAAGTCCTCCTCACCCCATCCCCTGACTTGGGGGGAAATTCCCTGGAAAAATATTCAGGCTAGAGCCCAGAGTTGATGCATTTTCTGTCGTTTATTCACTCAATAAACACCTGCTGCATTCTCACCATGCTCTGATTTCAGTGGGAATAAACGGGACTAGTCCTGCCCTCAGGTGGATATCAGGATTGGGTGGGTGGGGGCTCTGCATTACCCCCATGTTACAGAGTTGGAAACGCAGGCCAGGGAGGGCAGCAGCTTGCCCGAG